TTTTTTTTAAGATTCCACACATAAGTGATGTCACATGGTGTATGTCCTTCTCTGTCTGACTTACTTAGTATGATAATCTCCAGGTCCACGCATGTTGCTGCAAATGGCATTCTTTTTTTTTTTTTTTTAAACCCCACATTTGTTTATTTATTTATTTTGGCTGTGTTGGGTCTTTGTTTCTGTGCGAGGGCTTTGTCTAGTTGCGGCAAGCAGGGGCCGCTCTTCGTTGCGGTGCGCGGGCCTCTCACTATCGCGGCCTCTCTTGTTGCGGAGCACAGGCTCCAGACGCGCAGGCTCAGTAGTTGCGGCTCACGGGCCTAGTTGCTCCGCGGCATGTGGGATCCTCCCAGACCAGGGCTCGAACCCATGTCCCCTGCATTAGCAGGCAGATTCTCAACCACTGCGCCACCAGGGAAGCCCAAATGGCATTCTTTTATTCTTTTTTATGGCTGAGTAATATTCCATCACATTGTATATATGTACCACATCTTCTTTATCCATTCATCTGTCGATGGACATTTAAGTTGCTTCCATGTCTTGGCTATTGTGAATAGTGCTGCAATGAACATTGGGGTGCATGTATCTTCCCGAATAACAGTTTTCTCTGGATATACGCCCAGGAGTGGGATTGCTGGATCATACAGTAACTCTGTTTTCCTGGCCAGCAAGTTCATGGGCTTTTGGTCGGCATCCATCTTCCAGCTCTGTGGGATGAAGGGGCGGATGTGGTGGAGACAGCAGCTGGACAAATCTCTGTCTTTGTGGACGTTCCCAGGCAGTGTGGGCTGCAGCAGTGGCGATTTCAGATGCCTGGACTCCGGCCTCAGCTGCATGTTCTTGACCTTGGTGACCCCAGTGGAGCTCCCAATGCCCCACCTTCCCCTGCTGGTCCAGCTTCACAGGCTTCTGGGAGGATCCTTGGGAGTCCGGCCTGAAGCCGCACCTCTAGCCCTCCCAACAGTTTAGAGAGCACCCAACGCCTCACGCTTAATCCTTTTCCTGCTTAAAATACCCAGAGTGAGTTCTCTTTCCTGCCCTGAGCCTTGTTGGACACAACAGTCAAAGCAAAAAGGAACACACGCTGAGCTGTGAGGTTCTCACTGTGCACGCAGCTGTTCTCATGATGATGGCATCCTCTACTCATCCCTTTTTTAAAAGTTATTTTTAAATTAATTTATCTATTTTTAAACATTTATTGTACTTTGGCTGCCTTGGGTCTTCGTTGCTGCGCACAGGTTTTCTCTAGTGTGGCGAGCGGGGGCTACTCTTGGTTGTGCTGTGTGGGCTTCCCATCGCGGTGGCTTCTCTTGCTGCCAAGCACGGGCTCTAGGCATGCGGGCTTCAGTAGTTGTGGCACGCGGGCTCAGTAGTTGTGGCCCGCGGGCTCTAGAGTGCAGGCTCAGTAGTTGTGGCACACGGGCTTAGTTGCTCCGTGGCATGTGGGATCTTCCCGGATCAGGGCTGGAACCCGTGTCCCCTGCATCGGCAGGCGGATTCTTAACCACTGCGCCACCAGGGAAGCCCAAGACTCATCCCTTCTTAAGAGAACTCTTGCCCACCCTACCTCACCCCCTTGATAGCACTTCTCCTCCTTTTCAGCCTATATAAACGCAAACACGGCTTCATTTGGGCTGGAGGATTGCAGGGGTTCATTTTTCTTTCTTTTCTTGTGTGATCATCTTTGTGGTTCTGAAGTTGTATTAAAAAGTAAACTTACATCCTGACTCATTCTCTAAGCCCCTGTTCAACCCCCTCTCCTCCAGGAAGGCTTCCCTGATTGGCCATCCAAGGTGTCTTGTCTCCTCTACTAAGTTTCTGGAAGGCAGTCTCAGGCTCAGACCAATTTCTCACAGTGCTGGGAAGCAGAGGAGGTTCTTGATGGGAGGCAGAATAAAACATGAGTGGGTCTATTGATGTTTTAGAGGTAAGTGCCCCGGGCTCTGCCTGTGAACAGGTCTGAGGTCTGAGCAGAGGGGAACAGGCTGGTCAGTTTCATGCCAGGGGTCCCCAGCAAGCTGGCGTGGGGAAGGACTGCCCAGCTCTCACATCCTTTTGATCCCAGGAGCCTGATGCAACTTGCTGAGCCTTAAAAGAAAAAAACCCACTGCATTCAGCTCTCACCCAAGGAAGCTGTCCAGGCTCCAAATAAGGTAGCCTCAGAGCACCCCAAATTCTAATGACACAGTAAAGGAGGGAACTAGAAGTAGGGAGACAGGGCAGTCTGAGGGGTGGAAGGACAGTCTTTGCTAGAGGAAGGGGTAGGCATCTGGGAGGAAAAGGAAGGGGAGCGAATAGAAGAGAGCGTTTGCTTTCGTAAAAATCTGCAAGTCCTTGTGAGCGAGACATTTAGGTCCAGCCTGTGGACTCTGGGTTTGGCATATGACTTGCTTTGCCCAGCGGGAAAGGATGTGATGTTTTCCAGGTCAAAGCAGACACACGGAGGTTCTCACGCGGTTTCCTCTGCCCCTCGGAGCCTTTGCCCTCCATCATGAGAACGGCATGTCTGCAAGTAACTGCTGGTTTCAGAACAAGAGACCTGAACCCTGCCAGGAGGCATGCCTGTCTAGTCAGTCCCAAGCGAGCCCGGCAGGACCCCCGCTGACTCGCAGATGCAAGAATAAGAAAGAATGCTTGTTGTTGTGAGCCACTGAGGTTTGGGCCTGTGTGTTACTCGGCATTATAGCAGCAGACGCCTACCTAACACACCAGGTCTGTTGGCGTCAAAGTCAGTGTAGTCCGACCAGCCATCCTGCTGAAGCCATAACGCCTAAAAAAACAGCCCTGCTGTCATTGTTATTAATGTCCTCAAATTCCTCATTCCTTTTACAACCACAGTGAAACCTTTCTTCCCTCTTTTTCCTTTCCTCATAGTCACAGAAAAGACCCAAAGAAAATAACTGAGATTTCAGCTCCATTAATTTTTCAGGGCACCATGAATTAAAGAGCAATTGTAATGCAGTCAGTCTCTGTGGGAAAATAAGTCTCTGTGATTGTGCTTTAGTCTAAATACATGGAAGGCTAAGTAGCACTGTTAATACCCAGAATACATGCTGTTCCAAAGGAAAGCACCCAGAGCAGAGGCAGCCCGTGAGGCCAGGGAATTTCAGGGACATTCTGAAATTCAGTCAGTTAGCAAGGACCAGACCTTGGCACAAGACTTGCTTTGGCCAGTGATGTGTGAGTGGGTGTGATGTATTCCAGGTCAAAGCAGATACACTAAACTGAGGACCAGCAAGGAGGCCAGGTCCTGTAGACAGCCATGGCTCAGGCCAGCCAGGAGTCTCCATGTGGAGGTCCCTGACCTGGGTGATCCCTGTTGGTAGAAATTCATTCATTCATTTATTCATTCATTCATCCATCCATCTCCATGATCCATCCACCCCCATGCATGCATCCATCCATTCATTCATCCATCCCCCCATGCATGCATCCGTCCATTCATCCATCCACCATCCCTCCATCCATCCATTCAATATTTTCAGCCAGGTACTTGAGGTAAAATGGTAAAAAAAAAACAGGCATAGCCCTTACCCTCAACGAGCTGACCCCAAGTGTGTGTGTACGGTGCAGACAATAACTAACTAGTGGCACAAATACATAATTACAGTCCTGGGAAAGAGAGGCACTAGAATCTGGGAGAGTGCGGCACAGTGGGTCCCAAGCAGGCCTGGGGGCTGCCAAGGAAGCTCCTGATCTGGACAGCTTCCACCTAGTCCAGACCCAGGCTCTGCCTTCTCCACCTTTTTCCAACACTGGGGGCTTGCCCTGTGTAGATGGCATCCACAGGCTCCTTCTCTCTGGCTTCTGGTGGGATTCAGACCACGGGAGGTACCAGCAGAAGACCGGAGGGCGGGAGGGGAGAGAGCTGGGTACCATGACTCCTGTTCTCCGACTGCCCAGCCGCAGTTCCTAGGGGCTGAGCGACCCTCTCCTGGACCAGCCTCCTCCTTGCCCGTTCCTTATGGCTCCGGGGATCCGGCCTCCTACTGGGCAAGGTGGTTGGCTGAAAAAGGCCCCCCCAAAACATCCACGTCATAATCCCTGGAACCTGTGCGTGGGACCAGATGGAGGAAAATAAAGACTCTGCGGGTGTGATTCAGTGAAGAGGTTTAGTTGGGAAGATTATCCTGGGTCATCCGGGTGGGGCAGAGGGAACTTTCACACACACACGCACACGCGCGTGCACACGCGCGCGGCAACGTGAAGATGCAGCTGGAAGTGTTGAAGACGCTGCCTTAGAAGATCCGAGTGACCCCTCCACAAGCCACAGAATTCCAGAGACTGGGAGAGGCAAGGGAGGGGTCCCCCCCAGAGCCTCCAGAGCGAGCAGGGGCCCACAGACACCTTGGTGTTCGCCCCATGAAGCTGATTTCGGGCCTTTGGTCTCCGAAACTGTGAGAGAATACATTTCTATTGTATTGTGGTCATTTCTTACAGTGGCCGCAGGAAACCGACACAGGCCTTTCCTACAGCCAGGGGGGCCCCTCCTCCACGGGCCCTCAGCAAGCTCCTCCCTCAGCCCCAGGGTCTCTCCTAGCCCACCCACGCTGGCCCTGGAGAGAGCCCCCCATTACGCTCTCGTCTGTCGCCCCGTGAAGGTGCCCTGTGCTCCTGGGGCCCTGCTGCTCTGCGTCTCAGAGGAGGGGACGCTGCTCTGGGGTCTGAAGGACGATTCACTCTCACGGTGGTGGTGGAAGAGGCCTCCAGGCTGAGGGGAGGGCCTGGCGTGGGAGGGTGCGTGGAATGTTCTGGAAGTAGAGGAAGGCCCTGTGGCTGGAGTGCAGACAGAGGGGGACAGAGTGGAAAGGTCCTCATAATCATCCACTATCCATTGACCGGCTCTCGGGCCCATTTGTGCCAAGTGCGCAGCTCACCTCCCCTGCTCAGTTCTCCTGCAAAGCCTCGAGCTCCTGGTGGCACCCAACCACACGGCCCAGGGGAGAAGGGGATGATGGGGGGTCCCGGGCCCCACGTGATGGAAAGGCTCCAGGACTGCTTACCTTGCCCTCCCGGGTGTAGGCCAGCACCTTGTCCTCTATCCGGGGGTGGAAGATGAACGTTTCCACGGAGAAGGGGATGAGCTGCTTCTGGAAGGTGGCGCCCTCGTCTGTGCTAAGGAACAGGCTCTGGTCCCGGTCGCTGAGAGAGGAGCTCACGAGGATGATCTGAAACACACAGTGGGGCGTGAGGCCTCCGTGTGGAGATCAGGCAATGCGTCTACAAGCCAAGGGCTGCTGGAGCTGCCAGAAGCTGGGAGGGGGCCTGGAGTGGGTTCCCCGCAGCCCCGAGAGGGAACCAGCCCTGTCGACACCTGACTTCGGATTTCCGGCCTCCAGAACTGAGACGACAGATTCCTGTGGTTTGAAGCCTCACCTGTGGTACGGCCGCCCCAGCACACTGACCTGCCCGGCCGACAGCTCTACAGTGGGGAGGACTTACTGTCAAGTACACCCAGGAGGCAGGGGCCATTTGGGAGGCTGCCTCGCCCTGCGCTCACTTGGTGGAATGACAGGGCCCCTCGGAGGGACATGCGAGAGCTCCTGTGTCCCTGGTGCCAGAGAAGGTCGAACAGCCGGGTGGGCTGCGACAGTGCCAGGAGCACCGGCACGCGGGGTGGAAGGGCCGCGAGCAGCGTGGTTCACCCTCCAGCGCTGTGGCCCCGACTCCCACCTCCAGCAACATCAGAAGGTCCGTTCCCCACACAGGAAGCCAGGGGGTCTCCTACACACGGGCCTTGTAGAAACTTCATGGTTCCTGGGAGCCCCAAGGAGACACCAACCCCCCTATCAGGGTCCCCAGGCCCTTCCTGGACCGGCCTCCCTCCCAGCCTCCACTTGCACCCTGGCCATGCTCAGCATGGGCCACAGCCCCACCCTGGGGTGGGCCTTCCTCAACCCAGGCTGGGCTGAGCTCCTGACACAAGGTTGCTGGGGACCCAGGACTTGCCCATCACACGTTCACCCCATTTCATGGAAGCGGCCTTCCCCCCAGGGACTGAGGCCCTGTTGGGCCAGGGGCCATGTCTGTGGAGGTCACTACTGACCCCCTCCCCAGCCCACCCCTGCAGGGCCTGGGCACTCCACCAGTCAGATGAATGAATGAGGGAATGAGGGGATGAGTGAATGAACCATGTGTGCTGGTGGAGTAGGGGGCTGGGGGCACACACTCCGTCTCCAGATAACCCAGTTCAAATCCATGTCTCTGTGACTAAATACCCTCTGTGCCTCAGTTTCCTTGTCTACAAAATGGGTGGCTTTCCCCGGGAGGGCGTGGGGCAATGAGATGCCCCCCCAGGATGGCCTTCCTCAACCTCCGACACCGCTCTAGAAGACAATTAAACACAGAGAGCACAAATCAATGAACTGCACAAAACTCCTGTCTCGTGTGAACAAATGATAACCCAGTGTGTTCTTTCTTTCCAGGGAAACCTAATGAGCTCCCCAGGGGCGGTCATTCATCTCCTCCAGCACAAAAACCTTCTGTCCCCAGAAAATGGCGGGTCGTGGAGCCTGATTCCTGCAAAGATGTGCTCGGAGATGTTCCTCATGGTGTGATTTACATGCAGGAAACATGGGGCAGGGGAGAATGGTCAGGGGAGCCAGAGAGCGTGTACAAATGTTTACAGAGAATGTTTAGTGACAAGAGAGCTCATGCACACGTGACATTTAAAAAGCAGGGCACAAAATTATAAGCGAGTCTAATTTCTGTACATTTCATGTTGACAAAATTGTAAGGAAGTGTATTATAATTTTGTCAATGGTAGGTGTATAAAGGTAAGTATAATTTTATCAGTGGAAAATGCATAGAAAGAGGAATGGAAGGATTATTATTCTGCCATAAAAAAGAATGAAACTTGCCATTTGTGACAACATGGATGGATGTTAAGGACGCTATGCTAAGTAAAATAAATCAGAAGGAGAAAGCAAGTACCATGTGATCTCACTTATATATGGAATCTAAAAGGAAAAAGGGGAAAAAAAACAAGCTCATAGATACAGAGAACAGACTGGTGGGGGGAGGAGGGTGGGCAAAACGGGTGAAGGGGATCAAAAGGTACAAACGTCCAGTTATAAGATAAATAAGTACAGCACGGTGAGTATAATCAATAAAACTATACTGCATATTTGAAAGTGGCTATGAGAGTAGATCTTAAAAGTTCTCATCAGAAGAAAAATAATTCTGTAACTATGGTGACAGATGTCAACTGGACTTATTGTGTTCATTTCACAAGACAAACATCGAATTATTATGTTGCACGCCTGAAACTAATATAATGTTGTATGTCAATTACATCTTCATTTAAAAAAGAGAATGGAAAGAAACACAGGGGGATGTTAATAGTGGTGGGTTCAGAAGGAGTTTTTAAACATTTTTAAATAAACTTTTTAGTTTAGAATAGTTTTAGATTTACAGAAAAGTTGCAAAGATAGCACAGAGAGTTCCCACATGACACACACCCCGCTTCCTCTTTCATGAACAGCTGACGTCAGGATCATACATCCGTCACCACTAAGGACCCAACATCGATACATTGATCTCATCTAAACTACACGCTACATTTCACCCATTTTTCCACCAACGTCTTTTTCTGTCCCTGCTCCAGGTTCCCACATGACATTTAGTTGTCATGCCTCCTCCGGCTCTTCCGGGTGGTGACAGTTTCTCAGGCTTTCTTTGCTGTTAATGACATGGCAGCTTTGAGGACTGGCTGGCGGTTTTGTAGTAGTTACCTCCCCATTTGGGTCTGTTTGATATTTTTCTTGTGCTGATGCCGTGGTTCTGAGTCTTGGGGGGGAAAAGAGCAAAATGAGGGGTGCCTCCCTCATTGCAGTGGACGTGCAGTGGACATGACCTGTCACTGACGATGCTGCCCTCGCTGGCCAGGTGGCACTGGCCAGGCGTCTCCCTGTAACGTTACTCCATTCCTCCCTGCTTCCATCCTGTCCCTTTGGGAGGAAGTCGTCTTGCGCAGCCCACACCTGGGGGCGGGGGGAGGGGAGAGGCAGGCGGCCCTCCTGGAGGGTGGAGTAGCTACATACATTATATGGAATTCTTCTGCCTGGGAGATTTGTCTTTTCTCCCCCATTTATTTACTTATTCAATCATGTATTTATATCACTATGAACCCACAAATATTTAGTTTATGCTTTGAGTTGTATTTCAATAATATTTTCTCTTTTTTTTTTTTTGCGGTACGCGGTCCTCTCACTGCTGTGGCCCCCGCCGCTGCAGAGCACAGGCTCCTGAAGCGCAGGCCCAGCGGCCATGGCTCACGGGCCCAGCCGCTCCGCGGCACGGGGGATCCTCCCGGACCGGGGCGCGAACCCGTGTCCCCTGCATCGGCAGGCGGACTCCCAAGCACTGCGCCACCAGGGAAGCCAATAATATTTTCTTATTTTGCTGCCCAGATAGGTCTAGCTCTGGCTACTGGGAGGTCTTTTGGGGTCCTGTGTCTCCTTTGACATCGTCCTTCAACTCCTAAATGTTCTGCACAGCACCTGGCTTCCCTGGATAATCAGGAAAAATGAAGTAAATCACCAAGACTCCTTCCACATCTTTCCCGGATACAGCACGGTTCATTCAGTATCCACTGGACACTCTCGGCCTGGCTCTGCGCCCCACCCCAGGGCAGCAACTCTCACGCCCGGCTCCATCCGGGCCGTCTGGCCAGGGAAGCTCATTAAAGCACTTTGCTCGTGATGCATTTTCCACAATGTTTTTACAATACAACTATTTGCTTATTTACCTCCCCCACTAGACTGTGCCCCCGATCTCAGGGGTAGGGAATCTTTTGGTTTCTCCAGCACCCTGCACAGGCCTGACCCCAAGCTGTCGGTCAACAAAGCCCTGCTGGATACACGAAGGAATGCACGCATGCATGCATGCATGCATGAGCAATTCCAGCTGTTTGTGACTCTCATAAGAGAACTGTTTGTTTGTTTTTCTCCTCTGGGAGGAAAACATCCTTAGGGATATTTAAGTAGCCTGGAGAGCAGAAGGCATAAATAATCTCATTCACTTATTCCTGTTCACCACTCCAAGCTTCACACAGCAATGAAGGCTCATTCGTTCGTTCATTCATTCATTCTTCCACAGCTGCTAAAACTGCAAGGTCAAGCAAGGATTGAGGTATGCACAGGGCTTTATGGGAGCAGAGCAGGGGGAAAATATCATCCAGGTGCAGAACAAAAGGAAGGGCTTCCTGGAGGAGGTGATATCCAGATGAGCCTTGAAGAATGAATGGAAATTTGATCCAGACCCAGGGGAGGGTGTTTCAGGCAGAGAGGACAACATAACCAAAGGCAAACAGGCGGCATCCCAGCTGAGACCGTTCACATCCTGACCACCTTTGTGTGTCTTGTCCCCTTTGGCTGGAATGCACAGCAGGATCAACACACCCCCAACATCACCACTGGTAATTCAGAATCGGATTTTAAAATCTCAGAACGTCACAAAATCCAAGTGTGATAAAATGAAAATGGTTTCTTTGAAATTTTCTGAGCCCTGAATTCTGGGCAACTTCAACAAAGCTGAATGTTTCTCATTTATTTTTGGCGTCCCTGCTTTGCCAGTGTCCCCAGCATGAGTTTAGCCTGTTTTTATGATGGGACATCTTCCCCCTTTTATCTGCTTATCAAACGCCTCCTCATCCACCGAGGCACCTTTAGAAGGTCACCTCCTCCAGGAAGCCTTCTGTGATACACATCCTCCAACAGAGTTTTGCTCATGCCTCCTCTGCCCTTTCCCCCAGCATCTTGTACAGTCATTTGCTCCAGCCCAACATTCCTAGGGTTCTCCGCAGGGAACCCTCGAGAGCCTGCCTTTCCCTCCAGGTGGGGAGGCTGTGCAGCCTGGCAGGGCCCAGGTCCTCATCATTGCCATCCAGGTCGGAGCACGGGACCTGGTCCAAGAAATGGGTGTTGGTTTTCCCACACAGAATGAGGGCTCTAGGTACCGGGTCACCTCTCCATGAAAGCCCCCAGTTACAGCCAAGGCCCTACCCATGGTGGCAACTGAGGCAGAAGGAAAAAGAACCTGAGGAAGTGATTCTGGCCGGGGGCCCAGCCATCTGTGGTTGTGGGCTATTTTTGGCCTCAGAGTGGGACAAGCCAGGAAACACGGGGGAAGGAAAAAGTGCTGACAAGGAAAGGATTATTGGAGCAAA